GGCCTCCAGGACCGTGAGAAACAGGCATCTGTGGTCTGTGAGCTGGCTCCTTCTGGGTATTTGGTGACAGCAGCCGGAACGAACCAGAACAGAAGGAGAAGTTGCTGAGACCCCGATCCTGGCTCCAGGAAAGTCAGGGCTCCTGAGCAAAATTTTGTGGAGCATCCCCATCGGCTCTGGAAGCAGTGGGGGAGGAAGCCAGAGAGCCCCGAGCCCCGCCAGCAGCTCTGCCAGCCTCCTCGCACCCGCCCAGTGGAGGCTGCTACGGGCACCTGTCCGCCCCGCACCCGCCCAGTGGAGGCTGCTGCGGGCACCTGTGCGCCCCGACGGTTCAGCACACCCTTCTCACACCTCCAAACAGCTCCCTGGCCCCTGCCCCCAGCCCTTCGAGCTCCCTTTCCCTCCCGTCTCAGTGCTGCCTCCTTGCCAGGTGCCTTCTGAGGCTGGCGTCCCCTCTCTCCTTGCTCCTCTGGCCCGGACCCCTGCCTCCTGGGGAAGCCCACACCTTCCACTCGGAAGGGGACTCAGACAACATGAGTCGCACATGAAAAGGGGTGAGGACGAGCTCGCTAAAGAGAATCAGAGAGGGTGCAGCGGGGTAGTTCGGGGGCGACAAGCGCAGCCGTGGGCAGAGGTGGAGCCTGGGGGGAGATGTGGGCCACGGCAGGCCTCAGTTGGCCTTTGCTGACTTGTTGAGTTTCAGGGATCCCAAGTAAGTAGTAAGAGACAAGCCTGTGCTTGGGTGAAAGTCTCTTTTGTTATATACTTTAGTCTAAAATGGAGTTCACTACCTAACGGGAGCAGAAACGCAATTCTGCCCCGGGGTCGTAGCATCACCCACCCACAGGCTGCTACTGAGATTAGTGTTGAATGCAGGTGACATACCTCACACAGTGCCGGGCATGCAGCAAATGATCAAATCATCGGCAGCTTTTAAAGACATGTTGCTATTATTGTTGCGGTTCTGCCTTCTCAGATGCTGTCTTTCTACAACTCACACAGCTTAATCCTTTTAGTCAGACTTTTTGTGAAAACCTTGTTGTATCCCTTCGATCATTCCAGTAGCATGCTCTGGCCTCTTCTTCAATGCCCTCCCACCGTGTCTGGCGGAAGGAGCAGGAGCCACAGTGAAAGACATGGGCTCACGTGCGTGGGTGTGCTCTTCCTCCATGGCGTGGAAAGAACTTCCATCTGAAACAACATGGACACCTACATTCTTTCCCCAGCAGTGAGGAGACCCAGATGCCGGAGGAGAGAATTTCATTTTGTCGCATATTTTAAAGAAAAGCTGGGTTAGAGGAGAGAACAAAATTTCAGGCTGGTACATTTGCAGGCAGCTGAGGTCTTCAGTTCCAAAAGGAACAACTGAAATTATTTACTAATTAGATGTGAAATAGCTATTTCTCAGCTCCTCTGCAACCACTGTTTGCCACATAAAGGCATCGGGAAAGCAGACAGAGGAACTTGTTTTGCTGACTGAGAACAATGCGGCTGGTTGGGTCTGAGACTGAACTGCCGAACCGATAAGCTCTCTTCCCACCAAGTCCCCCTGCAGCCAGGATGCGGCCCTTTCCGCTCTCGCACCAGCTATTTTGGGTTATTTTTTTTTGGAGGCAGACGTAATTGTTAAATTTGCAGATGTTACATTTAGTTCCTCACCTTGGAAATGCAGCTTTTTTCTTTCTTTCTTTTTTTATTTTAACAGAAAACAAGTTTAATTAAAAAGTGTACACATTTTCATTCCTCGGCTCTTTGGGCCTGGTTATATTCTGTTTGGGGGATAACTTGTACCGAATATTTCCCTTAAATTATTTTCCAGGTTAATGGTCCAAGCATACAGCTCAGCAAATGTGATTCCACCCCGGGACTAATAAAACCAGCTACACCTAGAAGAAATCAGGGCGCCAGGGAAGCGTTTCAGGACTTGCAGAGAAATGTGGGCTGTGGACGAGAGCAGGGCCCGAAAACTGTCCCGATGGTGCAGGAGACACATTAGGAAACAGGGCCTCAGCTTTGCAGGCGCATGCCCACCGCCGACGGACTGAATGTTTGTGTCCCCCAAATCCAACTACTGAAATCCGAAGTCCCAAGGTTTTCAGAAGTGAGCCTTTGTGAGGTGATCAGGCGAACAGCCTGTCTGAAAGGGACCCAGTGAGCCCCTCCCTCCCCCATGTGAAGACAAGGGGAAAACACTGTCCATGAGCCGGGGGGCAGGCCCTCACCGGACACCAATCGGCCAGCGCCTTGATCGAGGACGTCCCATCTCCAGAACTGAGTCACCCGGTTCATGGTGTTTTTGTTACAGCAGCCCAAGGAGACTAGGCACATTCTCTCAGATGATTCTCCCAGCATTCCTGGAAGGCAGGTGCTACTATCGACACCGACAGATGAGGAAACTGAGGCTCCGAGAATCTAAGTCGCTCGCTGAGTTAACAGCTAGAGGAGTCAGAACTGAAAGCTGGCCTAATTCCAGATGTGTTCTGGACTCCTAGCATCCCTCCCTGTTTTTTGTTTACCCCTTTCACCCTCCACCAATTCCCACTAGTTCCACTGGGACTAACTTCAGCCCAGCTCTGTGACTTGGGCTAAGCCAGTCAGTGCCCGGTCAAAGTGACTGGTCAGGAATGGCCACGTGACCCAAGACCATGCACTCAGATTGAATGGCAGGGATGAAGTTTTGGGGTAAAGTTGTCTCTCATTTTTTGTACTTTGGACAAGTGTGGAATTATTTGCAACTATAGAAAAAACTGTTTGAGGGTGAAGCCAGTATTCAGGGAGGTGGGAGGTAAAGGAGCTGCAGAGACATGGAGGTGCAGCTGAACCCCGGGGCTCAGCAGTCACAGGCCCACCAGGTCCCCTCTGCAAGCAGATTGAGTGAGTCTGCTTCTCAGAGAACACACGCTCTGAGTGAAGTGGTCACACTGTCCCACGTGAATTTACCTAAAACAAAGTCAACACAGGGTGGCTAAGGTTTCCCGTAAAATATAAGGGAGGGCTCTTGGCACCCAATGACTGGAGCTGGCCCATTCCCAGAGTTCTGGGTTCTGGAGGCAAAGCACACATACTCTTAAACCAACTGACACTGTATAGGGAAGTTTATTGAGGAGGAACTTTTAGAATACCTAATGGTGATTTTGTAACAGCAGCAAACTCTTTGTATGAGAGACTGAGAAGGAAATTAAGTTCTCTGTTCTGCACACTGGCCCCCACCCCAGGGGCACCCACAGTTCACCTAGGAGAGCTTGCCGGATGGCAGCCCAGACTTCATCCTGTGACTATATTCTGCCGGAGTATTAGAGTGATAATGATTCTGGGGTTTCTCCTACCGGGATTGTTTGCATTTTAACAAGAGACTTGTAAACAGTGAGTGATTTTCTCAATTTGCAAGAGTGGAACTCACAGTGAACTTCAAGGCCCATGACAGGACTCTAAGGACAGACATATTTTGAGCCAGAGAAACACTTTCTTTTCTTTTTTTTGTTGTTGTTAATCCTCACTCAAGGATATTTCCCATTGGTTTTTAGATAGAGTGGAAGGGAGAGAGGGAGGGAGAGAGAAAAATCAGTGTGAGAGCCATCGATTGGTTGCCTCCCACAGGACCCCTACCAGGGCTGGGGATAGAACCTGCAACCCAGGTATGTGCCCTTGACCAGGAACTGGACCTGAGACCCTTCGGTCCAAGGCCCCCACACTCCAGCGCTGAGCCAAACCGGCCAGGGCAGACGAAGACTCCTTTTCTCTCAAATCACAACGTCCGCAGTGCAACTGCTGTGCAGTCACGGCTGAGGTCAGCGCCGTATGTGAAAATCCTTGTTCCACCCAGACTTACAGCACCTGAAACTTTCTCTCAGCCACACCACACACACGCACATGCTGTTGACTGTTTAAGAAGAGGACAAAGTAGGAAAGGGAATGGCTGAGCAGTAGAAGAATAAAAAGTGAGCTTGTTCCCTGCTCCTCGCCCGTGTCCGGAAGGCCGCGCCGCTGTCCTGGGCTGTGGGACCCTGTGCGCACCGACCTGCGCAGGCCCTTCGCCAGGACAGCGGTGTTTACGGGCGGGGAGGGCGTCTCCCTGGAGGGAGCGGGAAGGGTGCACTGCCACCCTGTGTGGTCAGGGGCTCACGCTGAGCCTGGCAGGGCTGCAGTGGGCCTCTGCTCCTGGGCACGCAGGGGCACGGGCCGGGGCACTGCTGTCACCCAGTAAAGCTCGGATTCTGGTTTTAAAGTTTAAAGTTTGATTCACCCGGCATTTATGGGTTGCTATTCTAGGTACTTTAATTCTATACGGACAGTAATTAATAGCATTGAGCATTTCTGAACTATGGAGTTTTTTCCTCTTTTAGTGTGGTGGCACTTGGGTGGATAGCAAAGACCTGAATATGATAAAGTCAACCCGGTCACCCGACTCCAGCCCCTTAGTAGGATCCACAGGACCAGACACTCGTTTGGCCCAGGGACACTGGAAGGAGAGGGGTGGGGAGGAGGGCACCCCATGGCGAAGGGGCGGTGACGTCCACCTTTTGCTTCTGTACATCCTGGGGCAGGAGAAGACCGGGCTGCCAAAATGGCTTTGACAGCAGGTAGGCAACCTGCCAGGTACCGAGCTAATAAGGTTGCTTGCCCCAGTGTGTTCACGGGCCAACACGTGGCTTTTTAGTATTGCAGGGGACACGAGGTCCGTGAAGGCAGGGACAATGCCTGTTTTTCTCCCCAGAGGATCCGAGGTGCTGAGTTTGTAGGGTTCAGCAGTTACCCACCAAGTCCGACCTCGCTGTCGCTCTAGGATGTTTCGCGAGCTTCTCCACCCTGCGGTCCACAGCACGGGCCGGCCCAGCGGGAGGACAAGCATGTTCCCCACGCTCTAACCTGAGCGGGGCCACCGTCCTCCCGAATCTCTTAGAACCATTTACGCCGCACCAGCCCCCAGCACTGTGTCTGAGGAAATGACATTATAACGACAGGACTGTACTCAGATTCTTTGAAGAACCATGACCAGTTGTGGGCCAGCTTTCTTTATTCTGGGTAACTGAGGGAGTACTCCTAAGGAGCCGGTGTGAGGTGACCACTCAGGGAAGAAGGATGGGCCCTCAAGACTGCTTAGCGATGCCAGGACCTCCTTAGAAGCAGGTCACTTGGATGCTTCATTCCATGTGGAGTCTGAGGCCCAGTGCTGGGGCTGACGTCGCGCCAGCCCCTTCGGCAAGCCTCGCCGTCGACTGTGCTTCACAGTGGGTTCGGTGGAGGAGCCCGGAGTTCCCACGAGACAGACTGCTGTGCCTGCGAGTTGCTCAGGAGCTGATGACGGTAGCATTGGCACAGGCCACCATGGAATGGTCTTCATTGTACAGTTTCAGCAACACCTGGTATTCTCCCTGAAAGGGACACGGGAGCGTGAGGTGTGTGGGCCACAGAACAACCAACCATCCAGTGAAGAGTCATTGAGCACCTTCCACGTGCAGCTGCAGCTCTGGACGCGGGAGAGAGGAGAAGCAGACAACCACACCTCGCCCTGTGAGGCTTGTAGGCTCGCGGGGGAGACAGACAGTGCACGTGACCCTTAGCTGTGTCTGTGCTGTGTCGTGTGCTGATGTCACAGAGAGAATGAGAGCAGGGAGGGTGGACGGGAGTGCTGGGCAGGGCAGGGCAGGGCTGGGCAGGGCAGGGCAGGGCAGGGCAGGGCAGGGAAGGGCGGGGCTGGGCAGGGCGGGGCTGGGCAGGGCTGGGCTGGGCAGGGCTGGGCAGGGCAGGGCAGGGCTGGGCCGGGCTGGGCGGGGCTGGGCAGGGCTGGGCTGGGCGGGGCGGGGCAGGGCAGGGCAGGGCTGGGCAGGGCAGGGCAGGGCGGGATGGGGCTGGTGCCTGCTTGCAGTTTTAAGCAGGGGGTCCAGCAGCTCCTGGGAGGTGCAGGAGCAGTCCATGCTGCTCAGGGCTGGCACCCCCGTGACCGGTGAAGTGGTCAGAGGGGCTTCAGGGAGAGGGAACCCCGGGGTGGGGAGAGGAGACGAGGTCAGGGAGGCTCACTGGCCATGGGGATGCTGGCTCCCGCTCTGAAAGGGACGCAGGTCATGAGAGAGCTTTCCCCGGGGAGCGGTCTGACCTGATGCACAGGTCCATGTGCCCTGTGGCCCTTCTGCCACGAGGCTGCAGTGAGAAAGGGTGGCAGCAGGAGGAGCAGCTGGGGCGACTTCAACAAGCCAGGTGAGAGAGGGTGAAGACTTGGAGCAGAGGGCGGAAAGGGCGTGGGGGTTGGATTCTGGATAGATTTTGTAAGAAGAGTCCATATGATTTGCTGAGGAAACCCATGTGGGTGGGAAAGAAAGAGAAGGGTTAAGGGTGACTCCAAGGATTCTGTCCTGAGCAACTAGAAGGATACAGTGTCATTTGTCATTTTCTGAGACAGGGAAGACCTCTGGGGAGCAAAATTCAAATGTATGAAACCAGCATGCTCTGTCAGCAAAAGTATTGCTGCCTTTTGTTCCTTTCTGGCAACAACATTCCTCAGAGGAAGCCTTTGTCTGTGCCAGTGGCTGCTACACAGGCCGGTGTGCAGCTGCAGAAAGAGCCCAGGGCTGAGCACATCTGTTTGGCTCCCAGCAGGAACCCTGCCCAGCCCCCGCAGGGCCACGTGGCACGTGCCTGGACTCCACAGTCTGCAGAACAGCTCGGGCGGGCAGAAAGCTAGGCAGGGCCACGGGCCCCAGATGGAGGGATGCAGGGGACTCCTGGCGCATCTTGGATGTGCCTGTCACCGGAGGAAGGAAAGGGGTCTAGTCTGTGCAAGCCAGAGGGAAGGAAGAAAGCAGACTTCTGGGTAGAAGTTGCACAGAAGTTAGTTTTTGTCAGAGGAGAACAACTTCCCAGCGGTTAGCAGGGGCCCAGGAGCAAGCAAAAGCCCCAAAAGCTGTCTGAGGCACCCGGTTCCACTCAGGGTGGCATCTTGGGTGTGAGCATTGGTTAGAACACCCCTGGCAATTCAACTCGAGGCTTCTGTGACCTGTTGGCTCCCAGGGGCCGGATTGCTGAAATATCGAGCAGCTGCGGTTACAGGAGGAACGTTAGGGATTTAACCAAAGCAGTGTACAAGTTAGAGAATTAATTATGAGTAAAAACCAGCTCACATTTGCATCTGCTTATGTTTAATTATCATCATTATCATCATCTATTTTTTAACTGTCCATGTGCATTTACTTACATACCCTATAAAATTATTGAAAACGAAATGTTTTCATTACTGCTTCACAAGCCTAAGAAAAGATGTAGCATTTGAAGGAATGGTTTCTGGATTATGAATTACAAGCTATACATGCTCTGGTTTATGAGGCAAGAGTATTTAGGCTGCTGTGCCCAGCTCTAGAGAGGTGGAAGGACATGCCAGGAGACAGGAGGGCAGAAAGAGCAGGGACAAGGGACAGAGAGCAGTGGTCTTTCTGCTGTTGAGAGGGGCGCTGAATTTGTCAGTTAGGAACCTGTAGTCTTTGGCACTTATGCAGTTCAGGCTGTACCTACAAGTGGTCCGTGTGCTCTGGAAGCCCAAGGACCTCAAGTTCTAGCTCAGGACGCAGCAGTCCCAGCCATGCAGGGCTCCAGGCGGGCCTGCAGTCTGGGCCCCGGCACCGGCTGCAAAGAGCAAAGAACCAAGACACAGCAGATTGAGTGCCGAGTGGGTTCGCAGCCAAGCAGGCCCAGAATTAGCACAGAGCCCATCTCCAGGGGATGGGATGGGGGAGCGATCTTTTCAAACCACAGGGCTGCGCTCTGCCTCTGTCCCATATTAGGAAGCGAAGTCTTTGAGCCTTGCTGGCTGGCCCTCAGCCAGGGGAACCTGGACTGCCTGCAGCTGGTCCTCGGCCAACCAGGGAGCCCAAGTGGGGATTAAGGCTCCAGCCTCTGCTGCTTATGTGACAGGCCGCATGTGTCCCACTCAGGCTATTTCCCCTGTCGGTTTGGCAAGGTGTCCTCAGGCTGGGTGGGGGCAGGGCCGATCAGGTTTCTGCTCCCCAGGCCGGGCCTCGGAGGGGAGGAGGCAGGAGGACCAGGCAAAGATGGTCTGTGGATGCTTCAACACCCACACCCAGCCAGGAGACCCGATCACATCTTTGCCCTCCTGTTGGGCGACAGTCTCGTTGAGCACTGTTATCCAAGAGTCCTGGCTTTTACATTTCTGATAAATTTTCTTTTAAAGGGATTTTATGACTGTAAAAAGTTCTTTCTTCTTCTATTTCATAGCAATTGCTAAAGGGAACTGGTTTATATATTTTTTAAAAAGCCAATAATGCAAGATGAAAATCAATTGTTTGCAAATTTTAAGTCAATTTCCTGTGTGTGTGTGGGGGGGGGATGGGTGTGTGTGGGGGGGGTGCGGGGTGGGGGCAGAATGAAAATGGGTACGGAAAAAGAATTAAAATAGCAAAAATTTAAAGAAAAATCTATTTGGAGAATTTAGGCCCCACATTGTAGAAATGAAGAGAGTTTGCCAGGCTTATGTTACACTGAAAGGCTTGCAGGGACACCCTGGGAACCCGGGGGAGGGGAGTTCCCAGCTGCCCGAGCAGCGCTGCTCAAGTCCCAGGAGGCCTAGAGACAGGATGGCTTGGCCCTCGGGAACCCAGAGCTGGGACAGAAAGGAAACATACAAGAGAAATGAAACCAAGTTAAACAAATTCTTTACGGAGAAGGGGACACTTTTGGAGGATACAAAGGATGACGTTAAAAACAAAACAAACCTAAAATGATTACGTTTTTGTGATTGTTTCGCTGTTCCGTGAGACTCTCTGAGCACTAGCTTCCTGGAGATGTATCGCTACGGCGGAGCTGTGTGAGTGCAGCCCTCTAACGAGGCCCCGTTATTCTGAGAAAATGGGGTTAGTGGGACATCCTCTCTGCGCGAGCTCCAGTGAACGGCCAGGGCAGGACCCTTCATTTCCTTGGTGGCAGCCCCTGAGCAGAGCGAGGGTGGTAACGGGGCCTTGCGCCCTCTGGTGGCGCTCCTCCGAGAGCCCGCGCTCCGCTCCGGAGAGCCGATGGCAGCAAGCCCGCGCCTGCTCCGGGCCGGGACAGGGCGCCCGCGTCCCTCCACCTGGGAGTGTGCCCCAGAGGATCGCCAAAGGTCCCACACGGCGTAAAACGTTAACTACAGAAATGTCGAAACCAGTGTGTCAGACATTTGACAGTGTCCACTGTGAGGTGGGGCTCTCCCGAGACAGTGTTTTCTTACTGTTGGCTGAGGATGGTTTAAACTGTTTAATTCCCTGTTCCTCCCCCTTCAAAAACTGCTCAATGTAATAGCTAAGTAACAACACAAAATAGGAACCCAAAACCTTACCTTAGGAATATCTAATCCAAGATTATGGACAGGGCCAGCATAATAAAGTTGCTCTGAAAAATATACAAAACATGCATCGTGTTATTCAACCATTTTAAACAAAAATGATTTCTCACATTGTCTGTGCTCACGGTACCCTGAGGATCCAGTGATGAAGAGAAGGGTCTCTGTCCAAACATTGTTCATATTCCAATGGGGAGATTGATAGTATATAAATAGCTAAACAAGCAGCAGGTAGACTGTGGAAAGTGCTGGAAGGAGACACGCAGGTAAGGTGAACACAGGGCCTGTGATGGTTGAGGCCAGGCCAGGGCGGGCTGCACAGGGTTACCCCGAGGCCATCTCTGGTGACTGTTTGACCTTGGGCAGTTATTATCTCCTTGGGCTCAGTTTCCTTGTTTTTAAGATGAGTGTAATAATGACCATCACAGTGACCACTTCATCAAGCTGTGAGAAATAAAAGGATTAATCAATGTAAAGCACTAGTAACAGTTTCTGGGGACCGCTCAGCAAATGTTTCTGAAAGTATGTGGGAGCTGCCATGACGGGGCGCTGGTCAGGGAAGGGATCTCCTAGGAGCTGGCGTTTGAGCTGAGCCCTGGGGAGGAGAATGAGGGGATCCTGCAAGGAGCTGGGAGAAGAGAACCTCAGGGCACCAGAATAAGGACAAAGGGCTTGGGGAGGAGGGACGGGAGGGAGAGGAATGTGGGAAGCGTAGTGAACAGAGGGCCTGTGTTGCGCAGAGACGGGCAGGACCTGAGGACAGGGCGAGGAGGAAGGTGGTGAAAAGTAAATGACAAATGTGTGGAGGGCCTAGAACGAGGCCATTCTGTGGCCAAGGTGAGTGATGGATTGGTGAAGGTGATGGCTGTGATGGAGAAAAGTGAATAAATTCAGGACTCTTCCCGGCGACTTACTGGTGAGTTCATGTGGAGAATGAGGGCCAGGGAGAGCTTAGAGCATCGGATAGATAGGGGTGCCATCTACTGAGATGGGGGGCCTGGGGAGGAAGGAGTGTGTGTGTGGGGAGAGGTGAATGAAGAGCTCTGTTTCTGGGGGTGATTAAGAGGCCTTGAGAGCAGCTGGATATATGAGTCTGGGACTTTTGTAGGAGGTTAAGGGTTGAGCTATGAATATTAGAGTCATCAACATGTATATGGTGATAAGACCACGGGACAGTATGAGACCCTGCATGACAGTAAAATAAAATTAATAGGTAGAGAAGGGAAAAGGGCCAGAAGCACTCCTGAGGCCCGCTAACATTCGGGGGGGGGGGGGGCGGTAAAGGACGGGAAGCCAGCTGAGACCCCCAGAAGGAACGGCTGTGGAGAGGAGGGCGACCAGAAATGGCTCAAAGAAGCCAGGAGATGGATGTTCTTCAAAAAAAGAGGGTGTGGCCCTGGCTAGTGTGGCTCAGTTGATTGGAGCATTGTTCTATATACCAAAAGGTAACAGGTTCGATTCCTAGTCTGGGCACATACCCAGGTTGTGGGTTCGATTCCTGGTTGGGGCATGTGCAGTAGGCAACCAATAGATGTTTCTCTGTCACATCAATGTTTCTCTCTCTCTCCAATAAAAAAAGGAGGGTATGATCAACTGTGTTGAATGATGCTAAGGATTTGTTTAAGAACAAAGTGTGCAGTAGATTCCGCAACATGGATGTCATTTAGTGACCTTGAAAGATCACTGGGTAAGTGAGAACAAATGCCCAAATGGAGATGAGAAAGTAAAAAAGGTTTTCTATAGAGAGGAGCAGAAAAAAAATCAATGACACCTAGAGGAAGGTGTGGGGTTGAGTGGTTTGTTTCTTTATTGAAGACGGGAGATATTGCACCATGTTTGTCATTTGAAGGAAATAATCTTGCAGAAAGAGAGAGAATAAAGATGCAGAAGAGAGGGAATAACTGAAGGACTGGAGTGTTTAAGAAAATAGGAGAGGAGGGATTTGCCTTCGAGAGGAGCACTAAGACTGCTCCCATACTAATGGGAGAGAAGACAGAGCCGATCAGGTTCAGATGCAGGTAGATTGGTAGATTGGCCCGTGGACCAATGGCAGGGCTCCAGTCTGCTTACTTCTGTTTTCTCAGTGAAGGTCATGGGCAAAGGCATGGGGGAACTGAGGGTGAGGACTCTGGTTCATTGAGGAACAAGAAGGTGGTATGCAATAGTTATGGACAGTGGGGAAGAAATTGACTTGAAAAACACAGTGGGACTACTAGGCAGTGTTGAGTGCTGTTTTGAGGTTTGGGGCCATGGATTTAGAGATGCTCTGGTCAGCTCAGGTGTATATTTTCTCAGCAGCATTCAGTAGATCTGATACAAGAATAGAGGGTAGAGGGTTGGATCAGAGTCCTGCTGGACAAATATGATAAGGAGAGAATGGCAAGGCTGCTAGGAATAGAGGCAGGGGAAAGCTTACAATAACAGAGCAGGGGATCCAAGGGGGGTAAGGAAGAAACTTAAGGCAGGAGGAGTTGGTTAATAGCAAACACAGTGGTGGAGTCAGCTGAATGGGGATTCCAGTGTTGCAATTAGGGTCCTAGAATAGGTGAGCTGAACGGACACGGGGAAGCCAGAGGGCAGAGGGCTCGGCACTGAGGTTTCAGAAGTGTGCATTTCCTGGCGATGACAGTATGCAGAGCTGACATGGGAGACAGTGGCTGAGGTGGAATGATGGAAATGGTTGTTGGAAGTAAGGAAGTTAAGGAACTGAGGGATCGTGTGCTGAGTGGGTCATCCACGTCAACACTGAAGTCAGCGGAAAGGATGGAACCCAGCCCAGCTCCTCAGATGGTGCTGCCCCCTGATTCCCCAGCACTGGGCACGTAGTGTACGATAAGCAGAGGCTAAGAGCACAGACTCTGGGGCCAGACTCTCTGGGCTGGGTTTGAGTCTTGGATCTTTTTCCTACTAACTGGGCAAGTCACCCAACCTTTCTGTGCCTCAATTTCCCTATCAGGAAATACAAATGATAACATCCACCTCACGGGGTTCTTGTGAACATCAAATGAGTTAATGCATGTAAAACTCTCATAATAGCACCTGGCACATGGCAAAGGCTCAATAAGTGTTTGCCATCAGTATATTCATCCACCAATCCACACTACTGGGGGTCCATCTGATATATACCTGGCACTATTCTAGGTGCTGGATACAAGGGTAGATAAGAATGGTATGTGAACCATTTGAATCACTGACCACCCAGAATTGTAATAATATGTTTACAGGGCCGCTGCCTTCACTAAACTGGCCTTCTGTGCCGCACAGAGTCTAACCCACAGTGGGGTGCAACGTATCGTTAGAGGATAAGGTCACTGAATGAGCAGATCCAGAGTCAGAACATGGGTTTGCCAACTTCATTCTTGCACCTGCTATTGTAATCCCCTACCTGCTGGGAGGGTCGGCACCTGAGATGTGCTGACCCAAGAGACTGGCTGGGGAATGAGCCCTTCAGAGCAGCCATGCTGGTATGAGGGTGGAGGGCTGGTGGAGGATGGAGGTGAATAAGGGCTTGTTGGTGTTAGCTACTGAGCTCTTTTGATGACACAGAGACGTCCTGCTTCCCACAGCATCTGTTCAGTCAGTGTCTGGAGACAGACCAACCTCTCCACATTCAAAGGGGCCCTGGGCCCAGGGCAGCATGGCTGGTGTTTGAGCAGCTGCCCACATGGAACAACATCAGGGACACGAGGATTATCTCTCTGTACAAAGGCCTTCCCAGGGCAATCTGAGACTGAACTTCTACCAGGGAATGTTCTTAGCATAGACTTTGTCATCTGTTAAATGCCCATGTTTTCAACATCCCTCTCCTTCCTTGCATGAGAAATTCCTGGTACAGACACGGTGTGTACCAGATGGCCAATGTTCCCATCTCATTGCACTACGTGTACTGGTCCGTTCATGTTTAAAAGGAAATGTATTTGGTTGTGGATATAATGATTTTTATTGGGAACAACTACTCTGTATGATGTGGTATTAGAAATAGATGTTAACATTTTGGATCCTGTCCTTAAGAATCTTCCAGTGCACCTGAACACGATGCAATAACTGAGTTATACAGAAAGTTAATTGTGTGTGGAGCGAGTGGTGTGTGTGCACAGGGTGTTCTCTTGTACTGCTGGCCTGTTGTACAACCCGAGGGCCCGCCATTCACACTAGAATCTGTGGTGCCCCCTGGAGCTGGCAACACAGTGCCCCAGCTACTACATGATTTCATTTTAGAAAACCATCTCCTTCCCAGTGGACACTCTCTGACCCAAACCAGGACAATGTGAGCAGAGGGACAGAGAGACCCAGGACCAATCTATTCTGGCAAGAGATGGTTTGTTTCATTTCAACTCACCAGTCTCTAGAGCTACCCACTTTCTGCCTGGCATAGCAGCCTTCTCACTGATTCTATGACTCCTTTTGAGAAAATGCCTTTGCTTTCGTTGACTGGAATAGTTTCTGCCTCCTGAACCTCGAAGACTTTGACTGCTGTGGGCATGAGCCAGCTGAAGTCACTCGTGCTGGCCATCAGGGTAGGGGACACAGTGCGGCTCGGGGGCAGAGTCCGAGGATGGGGACCGACTGTTCCCGTCCATGTCTGGTCTGCCGGATGCTCTTGGACATGTGTTATACCCACTCATTGTTCTAAGGCGGCATCGTGCAGGTGGCCTGACCCAGGAGCCCCGCAGACTTGGGATCAGACCCACCCCCCCTACTTTCCAGCTGAGTGTTGTGGGCACTTTGCTTAGCCATCCTGTGACTCGGCTTCCTCACCTGGAAAAGTAGAAGTGGGAACGCGTCTCCTGCAGGGGCATTTGAGGACTTAAGAACTAGTGTGCAAACCCACTGAGCAAAGTGGGGCCCCCAGGAAGGGCAGAAGCATAGTCGTTTGTGGTATTACTGCTCCCTGGACAGGACATAATGAGGGCTCACTTGGCGGATGCTGAGACCAGAGCGAGACGAGGTTTGGGAACCTTTGTGCCAAGTCAGTGGGCACCACTGCTAAGACCTGTGGCTGTCTTTTTTCTTTTCCTTTCTTTTAAATTTCTGCTTAAGAAAAATTAGA